ATTATCTCAGTCAAAATTTATTGAAAAAAGGATCACCAGCTAAAAAAATTCAAAACGACACACTTTCCACACTGTTTTCTGTGCCGCTTTGGAAATTACTATAGGAGGGTTTCTTATGTCAATGATATAATCAGAGGCATGTTTTTTCGTCAAGTGGGGTAAGAAGATGGGTGAACAAGGCGCGCAGAATGCCTATAGCTTCACATATATAAAAATCACATTCAATTTTTGAATTTAGTATTTATTTAGTTCTCATTATTTGAAATTTATGAAATTATGATAAACAAATATTTTCTGAGGAAAACTTTCTCGGCAAAAATTATTCTGGTATTAAAAAAATAATGTGGTATTCGTGGGGTTCGAACCCTAGCAATAAAAATCCTGAGTATCATTTTCCTTTGAGACTAACACGCTAACCACTACGCTACACGGCTCCTGATGAATGGTGGCATTTAAATCATGTTTGTGATATGACCCTGTACTAAATGGACTTCAGGTATTTCTCAGAAAGATGCGAATGTTGTGTCACAGAAGTGTATTTTAAGGTATAGTGGGTCTTTGCTCCATCTTTTTGTTGACCAAAATATGTATATTTTCACTCAAAGTCTAAGGATAAACTTTCAAAAATAGGGGAGCGAAGACCCACTCATATCGAAAAATTGGGTTGTAGTATGAGGAAATGGCCCTTTTTGCTTTCTTTAGTGTGTGTATGCTATTTCATAGGCAAATAATTTTAATCTTTGTGAGATTTTTGCAAGTTATGGAGATTTTACATGAAGTATACTTTAATGTTAGATGAAATATCAAAGAAAATTTTGCTATAATTGAGATTTAATTTTTTCACCTTCATGTTTGTCGCACTATAGGCACTCCGATCGCCTTGTTCGCCCATCTTCTTTGGTAATAAATATACATTGTTTTTCTTTTGGAGTCCTTTTTTTTTTTTTAGATAATTTTAATCATATATAAGCTCAAAAATATATGTACAATAAACCTATTATACTCAATGTTTCTTTTGATTCACTACTACCTTATGTAAATAAACAGTAAGGTCTCCATCACATTCGCACCTAGCTGCAATAATGTAGCCCTCTTCGATTTTTTTTAATCTGATATTTTCAGGAGAGGGCTACAATTCCACTGCATCTCCGTAATGGTGCAAATGTATTTTTTAGATACGGGCGACTGCAGGCAAAATAAATTGTTTTTGCATTCAACTTACTTCCAATAAGACGGAATTTTTATTCACTATCAACATCATAGCCCTTTATAAGCGAAAACAAAGTAAAATAAATCTGCGTGTTTACCAGTCGTTCTCTTCAGCAGCCATGACAGTTCTCGCGTGATGTACAGAGACTTGCGCTTGTCTATTTGAAAAAGGTCAAGGAAAGTCCATATTTGGAATCTTCGACACCAGAATACAAGCTTGGATCTGTAATTATGGATATTGCAAATCATAGGCTTTTTAAACCGCCACGTTTTACGGGAGATAATACTGCCCAAACAACCCGTTTGTTCCTTAAACTTCACTTTGAAAACAAAGGAATCGACGCAGTTAATATTAGTAATATTCTTAATCAAACAAGGGTCGAGTCTTGTATTCCACCATATTTCAAGTTGAAGTCTACGCCTTGTATATCTTATAAATTTACATTGACTATTGTTTCCAAACTTTTTAGTTACAAAAAACTCTACAGTGCCTAGATATCAAACATCTGATATATAATCCTCCTTTGTGTTCATTTTCTTCTTCACCCTACAACTATAGTCCTGCTGGACACGTCATTACTGGTGATGTAAACATAGCTAATAATGAGAATCTTAAATCCCTTATTCTAAAAGGGCCAAAATTTAGGGAACCCCTTTCTTTCAACTGGCGTCATAATTTTATAAATTTTGTGAATTCTGTGGAAGATTACGAAAAAGAAGACCTTGACGCTTTGTCAGAATAGATTAAGAGCATCAGATGGATGTTGAAATCTCGCATTAAGCGATTGAGGGGCTGTATGAAAACTATTTATCCTTCTGTCTTTTAATAATTCAGAATTGAAAAGGGAATCAGATAAATACACGATCAGTATGTACTGGTCCCAGCTGACAAAGCTGATAACAACATAGTCTTTGTTTGTAAGGCTCATTATTTGAATTGTAATTTAGAGGAACTAGGATTTAATTCTGCAGGTGGAAATCCAACTTACACCCACAGCTCTCTATCTAAGGAGGAAATTCTTCAAAATCATATGTCCGTTTTAGATATTTTTAATATTCCCAACAATCATAATGAATTTGAATTACAGTACCTTTACTGGATTCCTAAACTTCATAAAAAATCCTTACAAATAAAGACACATAGCGGGTTCCAGTAAATGTTCCACCATGCCTCTTTCTTTACTCCTCACTAAAATATTTACTGTAATGAAGGAGAAACTTTAGGAATACTGTACAAAAGTATATTTGAGAAGTGGTGTAAATCAGATGCGGATACTGAAAAACTCCAAAGACTTTTTAGAAAATTTGAAATCACAAAATTTTACTAAAATCAATAACATCAAAACGTACGACTTTTCAACACTTTATACAACCATTCCCCACGATAAATTGAAGTCTAGGCTTTTTGACATCATAGAGAACTACTTTTTCAATACAAATGGAACTCGTAAATATACGTACCTTGTCATTGGTCATATGCAAAATTATTTTGTTAAAAAGCATTCTGGTTGTACACACAAGTACTCTGAAGTTGATATTAAAAAGATGCTTGAGTTTTTGATTGACAATATCTATGTAGTTTTTGGAGATCAGGTCTTCCAACAATTTGTTGGAATTCCCATGGGTACCGAATTGTGCCCCTTATTAGCAGAACTATTTTTGTATTTATATGAAGCAGAATTTATTTAAAAAATTCTACATGAGAAGCAGAAAACACTTGCTGTGGCCTTCAACTCGACATTTCGTTATACCGACGACGTATTTTCAATTAACAATAGTTACTTTCATTCATATGTCGATTCGATATATCCCAGTGAGCTTGAAATAAAAGATACCACAGATTTTGACACACCTGTTTCATATTTGGATGTTTTATTAGAAAAAGACGTTAATGGTAACCTAACAACAAAGCTTTATGATAAACGTCATGACTTCAACTTTTCAATGGTTTACTTCCCTTACTTATGTCGCAATATACCCTTATCACCTGCATATAGGAATTATGTCTCTCAGTTGATTCGATATGCAAAAGCATGCTCAACCTATGAACAATTTCTAAAACGAGGCAAACTATTTACAAACAAGTTGATGAAACAAGGATGTCAACAGTCTCGTTTGAAGTAATCATATCGCAAGTTTTACGGTCGAGACATTGACCTTGTCAGCACTTACAACCTGTAATTAAGTCAAATGCTGACTGATGTTTTTCATACTACATGTAATTGTTAGACCATTACTTATATACTGAACTGTCTACGGATGTTTTTTTTTCCGATCATGACAAGGACCATACGGCCGGTGTGACCAGTCGGCAGGGGATGCTCACTCCTCCATGGCACCTGATCCAATCTCATGCCCAAACGGGATGGGATCAGGAGCCATGGAGGAGTGAATATCCCCTCTCAACCGATCACACCCGTCATGTAGTCCTTGTCATGATCGGGTTATCGAAAAATCTGTAGAAAACAACAGATGACTCAAAAATAATCGGACATGGATATATTGTTTGAAATATTCCTCTAATACTAAATTTTAATTCAAATAAATTCTAACACATATTTTGGTTTTCAGTCTTTGAATTTAATTTCTCCCAGAGTAAAATATCACCCTATTCACAGTATGTGCCTAAATACTACATACAACAATTTGTATAAATGGCGTCAGTCAACTTTGTTAGAGCAATGCGTAGCTCTAGTACTATGCTTGAATGAGGTAAATTACAGTTTTTTTTTTACATGTTGAAACATTTCAATGATATCTTTTAATCTACATTTATTTTCTCTGTCTTTTTCTTGATTTTTAAAATATATGATGAAAGACTTCAAAACCTGAAACAGTTCCATCTGAAGTCCACTCTACTTTGTTTAGATTTTATTTGATTTATAACATAAAGTTCAAAGGTATATTCAAATTGATCGATTAACCTTTCCTCTGGATACTCCATTATAAAACAAGATTAATGATGGACTCACAAACCGCCCATGTATACAATATTACAAAAACTGATTTATGAGAGGTTACAGGTCTTTGGCTTTTACATTCCACATTTTTTAAAGCTACTTTCAAGCAAATATATGGAATAAAAATGTAGTGGTAAATTCTGTCATATAGATGAAAACAAATTAATTACCTCAGGGTTCGAAGGTATACAATTTGTAGATGCATAATGATAGATACTAAAAACATATCAACAATTACTACACCTGTTGGAAATCTGGTCTTTCCTGTTTATCTCCTTTGAGAGATCATACTGTTTCATAAAAAATTATACCTCAATCTCTTTATAACTCGCCTATAAGTCGGACAAAGATTTTTGGACAAAAGTTTAACTCCCCAAAAAACGACTTATAGGCGCGTATATACGGTACGTTCTTAAAGTTATATTTCACTTTACACAAATAATCAATCAGTCATAAAGTGTTAGTGAAGTTCTCATCAGACATGTCTATTTCTTACCTTTCTTTTTTCTTTCTTTATTTAATAAGTTTTATTTTCAAAATTCAAAAAATAGGTATGAATTTATTTGAAACTGTTTGTGGTATAAACAGAAAAGAGTGTATAAGCGATATCTAAAAAAAAAAAAAAGAATGAAACGTAGCTTGAATTGATGGAATGTCAATAATGTATGCCCACAACTGATTATAAATTTAGAAAAATACAACTTCTTCGGTTTTTAAAATATCATTCATTCATTTCCTTTCAGGAAACAGAAATTCATAGGGAGAAATAAATTAATTTAAACTTTTACATCATACAAATTTCATTTGTCATTGATATATTTTCTTTTTCAGAAAAAATGAAGTTGTGTCCAGTCCTTGCGAAGGAATACAATATAATTACAATAGCCAACATGGACTCTTTACAGCTGAGCACTTACAGCAGACGACCAGGGACCAAGGTTAAGGTCACATGTCTCTCAAACACACTCAAGGTCCTTGGACCTACATGGCTAACCTGTCAAAATAATGGGACGTGGGATAAACCTATTCCAAGATGTGTAAGCAAAGAAGAATACGAGGCAGAACAATCTAAGATATCCACTGCCAGTAACCCCACAGAAAAACCTATCAAAGGTATATACAATCAAATTTATTTAATAAGTGAAAAAAAACTATGGTTTAATTTCTACTTTTTTTTTACTTTAAAATAACGCCAAAACTTTCAGCAAGCAAACATGGAATTCAATCATTTTTTGTATGTAGATGCAGCAAAACAGGGCTGACAAGAGTGTTTCGTTATTTACAAAAAATGTACATAGTACACTTTTTAAAAATATTTATTTTACAATGTACTACGATGAACAATATACTTCTACTGATGTGTGCATTTATTAATCTTAAGCGAAAATTATTTCTAGTTAAATGATGAAAGTTTCAAAGTTCATTGTTTTCAATCACTGCAAATAGGATAGGAAACATTTAAAAAACTTAATTTTGAATCATTTTCCATTTCCTGTTGTAGGGGCATCCCCGATATCAGAATCAGATTCATCATTTGGAATATTCGCTGGAAGCATTACTCCATACATCATAACAGTGTGTGTTTTAGCCATTATGTTTCTAAGCTTAGTGTTCATACTGACTTACTTAGTGCGCATGCGAAAGCTTATTAAAAGAAAAATTGAGGAAATCGAAGAAAAAGACCGCCGACCTGCACATGTGCGAATTTTTGACAGGTATTTGTTCAGTAATAATTATTGATTATTCCTTATTTTGTTGAAAACATATTAGCAAAACAGGAGTTTTTAGAATAAAATCAATTTGATTTTTGATTGTTTAATGAGGACATGAACTATGATGCTTCACGCCGGCATATTTTATGAAGTGCTTCAGATAAATATGCAGGCGAGTAGCATTGTAGCTCTCGTGCCGCATAAATTATCAATAGATAAATAAATTAATTCATATCTTATTTTTACATTATTTATCTGAATTTGATACAAAATATTTCATTCGAATGTCATTTTAAAAAGAAACAGATTGCACTATAATTTGACCTCATGTATTGTGTTACGACTTTACAAAAAACTTCACACTCATCCATGTGAGTACTTGAAAATGTAAACATATTCCTATTTGTAAAGGATGTTAAAGGAAAATAATTGGAAATGTAAAAATTAATATTTGGAAATAATGACACTTCTACTCTATTATATTTTGCATATTATATAAAAATCATTTTTGCCTTACATACAAAATGTTATTGATTGAAAAAATGATACATGTTATTATAATCTTACAGCCTTCCCTCTCGGCAGTCAGGATCCACAACAGTTTATGACTACTTCCGGCAAACAAATTCCCCAACGCCTAGTGCATCAGCGTCATCTCACAGCTCTGAACGCTTTAAACGCACAAATGAGCAGGACAGAAATGACGCCCCATATTTCAACAGTCTAGACCAACGTTTGAAGCACGAAAGATACCAGGACAGACTAGAAGGGGCTCATTCACTTTTTGATCCGCGTGTAAAACGCACAAGAAGTCATGAATTTCTCCAAACCGCCTATGTCAATAACTACGATCAACGGTTAAAGCGTGAAAGAGACAGAGACAGTAGATCGTTACAATACACCGTTGCAGAGGACAGGTGGTTCAATTCTAATTACTAAAGAATCCCCTTATTTATCGGTTTGAAGGGTAATAAGGACAGGTATTTTAAATGTAATTTCTGACAATTTCTTTTGCTCATCGGTATGGGTGGCGAGACAATTTTCAGATATATATCACCATGAAGATGTTCCATTTTTAAGAAAGGAATTGTTCATTTGAAGAAAAAAGAGAAAACTCTTTATACTCCGGGTATTTTAATTTAATATTCCACTGTTCATACATGAAAGCAAATCCAGTTTTTGTAATATTTATAAATTTTATAAGTTATATAATTGCTTTATGTTTGTTGTAAATTCAATTTTCTCTTATGTTTAGAATTTATATGCAAGGAAACTTCTATTGTGTGTAATGTTTATATGTAAGTTGTTATAAGTGTTTAATGTTATTGTCTGTTGGGCATTATATGCATATTTATAAATCTATTTTGTCTCAAGTTTCAGAAATAAGCTACCTGTTTGCATAAGTGTATTTAAAACAAAAGAAAAAATAAAACAGTTTAATATTTTTATAATTTGTCTTGAGTTTATATGCAAAATATAATAATATTTGTTTTTTCTCATCTCTGTATGAGAATTTTTAAATAGATTTCTAACTTCGAACAAGTAGATATGTCAAATGTATTAGTTTATCTCAAGTTTTTATCCTAAAATTCCCCACCTATGATAGTATTGAATTAATTTTATTGGTGAAGATCTATGCTTATGGAAAAGTGAAATTTTACAGGTTCGTTGTGATGTACATTCTTGGGTAACATGTATAAAGACAACAATCAATGAGCTAAACGAAAAAAGGCGACCAATGGGTTTCAAAAACCCACAAACAATACAACTCTGTGAAGAGGGCATAAAACACGGACCCCTGAAGATTCCAGAGGTGGGATCAGGTGCCTAGGAGTAGTAAGCATCCCCTGTTGACCGGTCACATCTGCCGTGAGTCTTATGTATTGTTCAGGTAGACGGAACATTCGTATAACGTATAACATCAGTAACGTATAAAAGTTATTGTTCGTTAGGATGTAAATATCTGCTAAATAAGACAAAGAAAGTCAAAATAAAAATGGACTTTTCTAAGTCAACCAACTCTTTCCCTGTGCCGATTTGATAATAAGCATCGTATAATAAACATTCTATCCTGGGCAATTGACAGGAGGTATACAAAGTAAAAAATACGTAATTCACAAAAATGGCAAATAACATAAGAGAGAAAAACGTCCTTTGATAGAAATCTGATATCAAACTAGAAATATTGTGCGATATAGTGTTTAAAAATTATGTCGCTCAAAATTTTTTAAAAAAATTTCTGGGAACATAGTAAATCTTCATTTGACAAGTCGTTCCTCCTTCCAATTCAGACTTAGAAAATATACTACTGATTCAAAGAAACGTGGCAGAAAGAGATGCAAATACAAAAGAATTTGAGCATTTTTTTCCAAAACGCTTGTTTATCTGTACAGGCAACAGAAACAATATTTCATGTTTCATACATTTACTGTATATGCATTTAACCATAACCTACATGTGAGGGTTAAGCATATAGCCATCGAAATCCCTTATGTAAAAATAATAAAATGCTCTAACCTCGGAATCATCCTTTACTCTTCATTTACATTTACAAAAGAAGAAGGTATGGTTTTAGCTTTATTGTGCCCTAAAATTCTAATGTTTTCAAAAAGTTTTGAAACTGGCTTAAATATTAGTTGAGTATATGACTGTAATAAATCAGGAAAGAATATAGCATGATGGAGTACCATTCTGGATATGTGACGTCATTAATTTGATGCATTTCTCTATTTTAAACAGAAAAAGCCTCAAAATGACCCATTTCAAAGGTTATTTTCCTTCAGAAAATAGTGTCCACAGCCGTTGCCCACATTAATTTTTAGATATGTTGTGTAAAATTCTTTGAAAAATCACATATCTCAAAATCTTTGTGGGCGATGCCTGTGGACAATATTATCTGAAAGAAAATACCATTGAAAATTGGTGTCTTCTGCAACTTTTTAAGAAAATACGGGAAAATGCACAAGTTTATGACGTCACAATTAGCATTTGGAAGGTCATGTGAGAAAAAAAAAATTGTATGATATTTCTGCATGGAATTTCCATAATTCAAAAAGCATGAGTTTTAATTTTTTACATCACTTTTATTTTTAAGAAAAACACAGGGCAAGATTTGTATTGAAACCGTACCTTGTTCTTTCTGTTTTAATAATGTTACCTTCTCATTTTCCCTGTGCATTTCTGAATCCAGAGATCTGATATAATAAAAAGGACGTCATTCAATTTGAATATGAAAGAATAACTAACCTCAAATTTAATTTCAGGGCATTATATTGTGGCATAAAGTGATTTTTTTTTTTAAAAAAAATCTGTATGCATATCAACTTTCGAGTGAAAAAGTCTGCAGTTGATGTCATGATGGTTGGAGTTTTATTCAAACAGCTAGACCTGTTTTCACTCAATTCTATAAAAAATCACTTTGTTACAGTTTTGCAACCGTAGGCGTCTATAAAACTGTCCGTTCTCTGCATTTGACATTTAAAGAGCATTCAAATCCATTTAGATTGAACAATGACACCTATTTTAAATAAACTCATAAATTATTTTGAGGGGAAAAAATGTAAAAAATGTTTATAAATTTCAAGGCTTCTCACTTTTCCCGATGTGATTTTCAGCTAGTAAATATAAGTTGAACTGAATGGTAAATCGTCTGTCAATGGAACGCGGAAGCTTTCTCATAAAGCAACATTTGGTTGAGGAAAACAACATGACGTTTTTCATTTTCTTGGGCGTGTGATACTGACAAAATGTAACAGAAATAAAAAAGAATTCAACCATTTCCTTATTACATCATTCAACCTTTACTGCCACCTCATTAAAGAAATGAAAAAAAAAGACATGAATTCAAAGAAATGCATGTCTGTTGGAAGCTATCATTTACATGTATTTGTTGATTATTCATCAAAGATTGCCAAGGTTTAAAAATATACATGCATGAATATCACACTATTGTCTCATTACTTTGGCGATTTATTTACCAAACAGAACTTAGAAGTGTTAGAATTTTAAAACAAACATTTTGAAAGTGCCATACATGACACATCCATTTGATATTATTAATACATTCAGACAAAGTAGACACGAGAAACAGTAGTACATATGGTACATATTTAATCAATTCATTAAAAAAAGACCCGATATAAAATAAAGAAAGATAATTAAAATAGATTATATGATTTTGTGAATAACTTTACTATAATTTATGCAAACAGAAAAATGGAGCCAAATTATGTAAAAAGGACAAATAAGCTCCACATTATATGCACAAAATTTATAATAGTAAAACAATGAATTTCTTTTCATTGTTATTTGATGAAGAATTTCACGTACAAAATCTTTAACAGAAAAACACTTTTAAATAACAATCTAGAACTAGAAAGGAAAAGAGGAATAATCACTAGTATAAAGATAATTCATATTGTTGTCCTTCCTGTTATCAGAGAACGTGATTTGTGAAAACTATTGCATTAAACAGTTAATAAGGGCTTGTAACAAATTGGAGCGGCTTTCTGTTATGCATCAAGTTGTTTATTTACCTGTCATATGACTTGTCAAATAAATGTGTCAGCAAGGTAGCTAGATTAATATTTACTAGGAACACAATCCAAATCAAAAAGAGAAAATCAAAATTCCTTTTTTAAACCTGATTTTTCAAATCTGAAGTTGAAAATGGTGTAAAAGTCAATAAGTGAGCCTCTACAAGGGAGCTTTTTGGGAAATTCGCCACTTTGAGTGCAATTTAAGAGAGGAACGTTCCTCTTCATCAGAAATCTTCCCCGTGTCTCCTTAGTTCTATGCACAAAAACTGTATTTGAGGAACGTTCCTCTTTTATTTCAGATTGCTTATAATAAATATGTGTTTATATATACAATGCTACACGAGGAACGTTCCTCTATCAATTTCAATTGATAATACATACTATATCCATGAACCCTAATACAGATTATATTTGAGGAACGTTCCTCTACCAATTCTAATCAATGATACAACAAACATCAATCTAAATACACTGAACATTTGAGGAACGTTCCTCTTCTCATTTTAAAATATTAACAATATATACATGAATCTGAACCCAATGAATCTGAGGAACGTTCCTCTCCTAAATGTTGGCACTGGCTTCATAAGAGAAACGTTCCTCTCCTATTTGTTGGCACTGGCTTCGTAAGAGGAACGTTCCTCTCCTATTGACACTGGCTTCATAAGAGGAACGTTCCTCTCCTATTGACACTGGCTTCATAAGAGGAACGTTCCTCTCCTAACTGTTGGCACTGGCTTCATAAGAGGAACGTTCCTCTCCTATTTGTTGGCACTGGTTTCATAGAGGAATGTTCCTCTCCTATTTGTTGACACTGGCTTCATAGAGGAACGTTCCTCTCCTATTTGTTGACACTGGCTTCATAAGAGGAACGTTCCTCTCCTATCCGTTCACACTGGCTTCATAAGAGGAACGTTCCTCTCCTATTTGGTCACACTGGCATTAAGAGGAACATTCCTCTCCTATCTGTAGACACTGGCTTCATAAGCCTGAACACATAACATATCTGAGAAACGTTCCTCTTCCCATTTTAAATTTTAACTCTTTATATATGAAAACAGCGGATTTGAGGAAAGTACGCTGGTATCCCCTAAGGAATAGATGACTCCTGTTGAATTTAAGATCACAAGATCAAACTTCAAGGATGAAACTTCTCTGGACAAAGAAAGATATTGTCTGCTTAAAATTTATTAAAAAAATTATAGTTTGTAGGAAACTGAGAAAAAGATGTTGGTCAATGTGTCTTCAAGTATATGGGATTCTTTAAGTGATGCTTTTTGAGAAGGTAGAGAATTGATGAATTTGTAACCATTTTTGTAAATGTGGTGGTTTTTATGCATTTTTACCACAATAATTTTAAAGCGGCAGAGTGCAAAGATTCATATCAATTTGCATTTCCTGTACAGCATGACATGTTTCATTCATGGTTCACCATTCATTTGGCAATTCTTCTGGATCAAGTATAAAGAAATATTTTAAATGTATATCATTATTTGAGTGATGTGCCAATCATATGATACGTTTCCATCTATCAATAAAGATTCCCGTTAACTTATGAATTAATAGATATTTTTTGTAGGAAAGGGGACACTGAAAAAGAGCTATGTTTATGGGCCTACATGTACATTCTTGTGTAAAGGTGTGGAACACCCCCCCCCCCCCTTTGAAAAAAAAATCCTGCATTTGCACATATTGCTTGTAATTATAAACATCATTTATTATTTTATTATTAAGATGCAAACCTGCAACTTAAGTAAAGCAAAATGCGGTCATGATTTATGAGCCTTAATTTCATATGGTAAAGGGAACTGAGAGAGAATACAGTGTGTGTAAAGTACTCTCATATAGCTCGA